AACTCATGGGTAGGATAATTATAATATATCCCTCTACAGGCAAAACCTTTATACATGATGACAAATGGATAATAATAAAGGTTTTGCCTGTTCGGAAAATGTCCGAATTACCTGGTTATATTGGATTTTTCTAAAATTATCGTAAAAACAACATGCAAAATTTTCGATGAAACTCATTCACAAGATTGAGAATGCTTGAATCTTTTACGCTTATTTGTTTTATAATGAAAACATAAACAACAATACAATCTAATTATTCCCTGTTTCCCGTTCTATATATAATTTTGCCGCTAATGCTACTGCCACTTCTATTGCTGCTTTTAATGCTAATGCTATCGTCACTGCTTTTAATGTGCCACTTCCATTTGTTTAACAGTTAAACCAATTTCATAAACGTTTTATAGGAAATAATATAATAGTAATACAATATATACAATATGTATGTATCTCTATCCTATATTATATTATATAAATAAATAAACCATTGTACTGGAATAATTGATTATTATTATATACATATCTATTAAATGAAGTATTGTAAATATTTGAAATGAAGGTGTCAATTTTCTAATTGATAAAAATAAATGTTTCTTTTACAATTTCTTATAAAGTTGTAATATTAAAAAAAATATATCTCTTTGTTAGTAATAAATTGCTACATCAAATATTTGCCTATAATAAAATTTTATTGGTATTGATTGGTGATTGTTGGATGACAGAAGTTTAAACAATAATCTATACTTGGTTTTGCATCTAAAATTTATTTGGTAATTTTAGAAAAAATGCTACTATTTAATTTGTCTCCCTGGATGGCAAAAGTCAACTTTGAACTCTAATAACTTTTTTAAAATTTATGTTAATACAGAAAGTGAACCGATAAAATAAAAGAACATTTCTCATTCTTTCAGTTTATCGGTTTACTTTTTGGCTGTAACACAAATTGAAGGTCTAGATGCAGTTAGAGTGCGATTACATTCTAGGATTATTGAATTTGTATTATTGTTATTATAAATAAATTACTGATATCTGGACACGATCTCACAATACACATCATATTTGATGTGTTTAGAGTAACTGTTATAATATATGATAATAACATATGGCGTCTTTTGGTAGTGACAGTGTTAATTTTCCCTCCATCCTTGTCTTTTTTTTACAGGTGATGTTCTTCCTACTATGTGTCCAGTTTCTTCCACTTTAAAATCGTATGTTTCTTAACTCTAGCTCTCCCAGCCGAAATACTTAATTCCAATAATATATAGGTTCATGAATATAATCTCTTTAGCGAGGGATGTGTCGATAAGTTTGCAAATTATAGTTCTGTCGTCGTTACCAAAATGTGAGTGTGCGATCCGAGTTTCTTAATTAATTGCCTTTTTCCGGCTATTATAGCTATCAGCCACTAATGCTGCCCGGTCAAAGACTATTTTTTATGTAAAGGTGTTATTATTATTATCAAAATGTTAGAATATTATATTATTAAAAGATCAATTATTGGTTAACTATTCATTAATCCCCTTTTCACTGAAGAAAATTTCAAGCATATCTATCCTTCTTGAAGTATTAAAGCTAGCATGACTTTTTGTTAAAATAAAATAGAATAGAATGATTATTTTGGGAATGGTTATTAATGCTAAATGCCCTATTAAAAAAACCATGTAAAAAAGGTACTGAATACATGCGTTATAAACAGTACGAAAATACGGAATTCCAAATAATATCCATAATAATACGTAT